TAGAAAGCTAGAGCTGAGAGAGCACAAGTGAGATTCCCAGGGAGAGAAGGGTCACTGGAGCCCGAACACTTCGGTTAGCAGGTTTATAGGATCGATCCACACTGCAGCCAACCTCAGAGAACAGATGAAGGTACTGAGGCCTGGGAGGGAAATGATCTGCCCAGGCTCTCCCAGGGAGTAGATGTCAGCAAAGACTTGCACCCAGGCTTCTGGCTCTGTCCTTTCCATTGAGTCGTGGTTTTCTTCAGGAGACACAGTTCCATTTCCCGGTCTCTGTTAGACTCCATCCTCCGGTGCCTATTCTCCTGGTTGACTTTGACCTTTCCTTTTGTCCCTGTCTAGTTCTTCCCAAGAGGAGAAAAGGCCAAAGGAGATGGATTCCCTAGAGGCCCAGCTGGCTGGCTTGAGGCAGGAGCTGGTGGCTTTGAGCCAGAGGCAAGCTGAGGTGCAAAAAGAATTACACCTTTGGCCCGAGAAGATGGCGGCCCTACGCAATGAGGTGAGTCATCTGGTCTACCAGTTAGGCCACGTGTCCCCTGGGCGCTTCCCAAAGATGTAGGCCCATTGAGTGGACTTTATGATATGGACAGGATGTTCCTCATCTGTCAATTGGGATAATAACAGCCCCTAGCAGGTCCAATGAGATGATTTTTGAAAACCTCAAAGCAGTGGAGAAATGCCAGTCACTTGGTTCACCATGCCTTCCCTGGCACCAAGGTGGCACATGGTGACCCCAGAACTCAGAGTGACTCTAGATACCACAGGCCCCCTGTCCAGGCCCTCTTGCTTCCTCATTTCTTCTGTTGTTCTGGTGTTTGCTGAGCTCTTTCCTCTGGTGGCTTCTAGGTGGAGTCTAAGGTCCCTGGCTGGATTCAGCGGGTCCTTGGTATTAAGCAAGAGGAGGTGCAGGCCCAGCTTCATGACCTGGAGCACAGAATCTTGAGTCATGTGGCCCAAGAGTGGCCCAAGTCTGTGAGCAAAGCTGCTGCCATCTTAAGACTGAGCCTTCTTAAGGAAGGAATGACTACCGGTGTGACGAAGGAGGTGAGGCCTGCCCCACTGGCTGTCCTCCTGGCTGGGGTCACTGGTTTGCCCTCAGAAGAGCCTGCCAGGAGGGAGGGGAAAACCCTGGCTGAGCAGGTAGCATGCTTGCCCGCCCCCCACATGGGCTGGGCCAGCCCTGCAGGTGACCTGGCCCCTGAGTAGTGCATGCCTGTCTTTTAGGAAGTGAACCAGATCATAAAGGAGGCCCTGAAAGAACACAGTGAAGATCGAATCGGGCTTGTGGATTATGCCCTGGAGTCCTCAGGTAGGTGGCCTGCAGAAAGCCAGAGGGCTTGGGACAAAAGGGATTGGCAAATCAGGATGGACCTTAGGAGACAGGAGGAATTGACAAATCAAGATGCCCCCTATGGGCCGTGGCAGTTAAGAGGGGTGATTCCCAGGCAGCACCCCCTCACCTTGAGGGCTGCCTTAAGCCATCTCTGTGTCCTCCCAACTCTCAGGACCCCCCCTCCCCACACACTTCTCTCCATGTTGCTCTTTCAGGAGCCAGCATTGTCAGTAGCCGCTCCTCAGAGACATACGGCATCAGGACGGAGTGGTCTGCCCATTTCACTCTGTTGGGCATCCCATTGTGGCGCTATTTCCAGTCGCCAAGAGTCATCCTCCAGGTAGGGCTAAACAAAGGTCCCCCAGCTTTGCTCTCTATGTGCCATCTGCCACCCTCCTCTATGGGAGCTGGGCCCTCAAGGCAGAGGGGCCCCACGATCGGGATCTGTTCCATCTGCTGCCTCCTTTCAGCTGATTTGTCTTGTGCCCACAGCCAGATGTCTACCCTGGCAACTGCTGGGCATTCCGGGGCCCCCGGGGCTTTGTCGTGGTGCGCTTGTCTGCCCGGATCCAGCTCACTGCCATCACTTTGGAGCACGTGCCCAAAGCCCTGTCCCCAAACAGTGACATCCCCAGTGCCCCAAAGGACTTTGTCATCTTGGTGAGTACCCGAGCCTGGCAGCTCTCCTTTCCAGAGTGGCACAAAGTCGTTTCTTAACAGCAGCATTGCCAGGTGAGCAATGCAAGGCTGTGCCCATTTGACACATGAGACATTGAGGCTGATCTCCTCACTCCAGGCCCAGCCCTTCTGTTCCTCCTCCTCTACTTAGAGAGAAGCCGGGAAAAGACAACCACAGAAGCAAGAACAGCCAAGATTACAATGTGCCTTAGGGTCCTTTACTATAGCCAGTTGCCGAGGGGCCAGGTGTCCCATGGACGAGTTGGGCAGGGATGGGGATTGCCATTCCCTACACAGTCACCTGGTCAGGGCAGAGATGGAATGTCCATTGTAAGGAGGATTTGGGAGAAAAGATGGAGCCAGAAGAGAAGGTGAAATATGCAAGGGGAGAGGGATGCTTCAGGACCCAAATCCTGACACACATGAAGAAAGCGTGGCACCCATACTTGAAGGGGTTTGTCCCAAGTCATTCAGCAGCTTTGGGGAAGAGGCTGAGAAGGCCGAGGCCTAGGAGGGGAAAGGCTCTG